GGAGCCTGCCTGCCTGAGCTGCATGGAGGTCCAGTGCTTCCCTCCCTGGCTTCAGTGCCCTCCCCCACACAAGACCAGCCAAGCTGGGTGCCTGCAGATGGGTGCCACCCGGGGGGCGGATGGGGGGGAGGGGAGGGGAGGGGGCACTGCTGCCGTGGAGGGACCACGTCCCCACAGCCCAGGACCTGATCTGCCTGCTGGCAGCTCGCCCTCCCCTCCCTGCCAGAGAGGCAGGTAAGTCTGTGGGGTGTGTGCACAACACAGGGGTTTAATCAGCCCTAAATTGAAGCGGTGTTTTTTAAAACTCACTGCTTCAATTTAGAACCTGTTTTATCTACACATGCCCTGACTGTCTTTGCCTTGGGATGAAATGTGGTCTTCTTTGATTACACAAGACAATGCTGGGTAGAAAGATTCAAATGTTCAGTAAACTCTTTATTTACCTTAAACAAGCGTCTAACCACCCCATCCAACACATCCCATTTTGTCTTGCCACTGACTCCAATGCAACCAATGAGGAACGTACGGGGTCTGGAATCCTAATTACAAACAAAAATATCAAAATTAAAAGAAAGCTAAGTCATGCATTAGTCTGACCTATGAAAGTCATCTATTTATTTAGGAATCCTGGTACCTGCCTATGTTACACCAGAAGGTAAACTTTGAGTTATCCAGCCTCTTGTTCTGTCCTCCATAATACACTTTGCAATGGTAAAGACAGTTAAACTCCTAAATATTACTAAAAAGTACTCACAATTCAAACCATAAAGGATTTTAAATACAAGGAAGTACAGGTCAGCAAAAAGAGATGAAGACCTTGAAAGAACAAAAGCCGGTATAATCAGGACATAAGTGACATATTTATTTTCTCTGTCACTTTAATATCAAATATGTTCAGTTTGAATGTGACAATTTTTCTCTACTCATTTCAAACAACTCCATCTGGGATCTGAAATCAAAAAAGGTAATAAATCACAGTACACTTGAAGAATTTAGCTGGCACTTCTCTTCATGACATCCAAGGCAGAACAGAAAGAACAGAATCCAATTTGTTCTTCCATAGCTGCATTGGATGTTCATTGCTAACTGAACAAAAACTAGTTTCAGTCACTATAGACAGCAGGCTTAACTCCAAAACACATAAGAGGATGCCATTTTCCAGAGACACTTTTCTGACCATGAGTACACTGTAGTCAGATATAATTGAATATATCTATTATTAATATATAGATATAGCTGTAGATATATTCTGAGGAAATTACTGTTACTAAGACAATTCAATGCACAACTGGTATAACTGAAAACAGATCTACTGACCCAATTTAATTTCCAGTTATTTGATAAATTTTCCAGTTTTATTAAATTGTGGGTGATCATTTTTTCTCCCTTCCTTTAATATGTAGAAATAGATGAATGATATGAACTTTTCCTCTCACAAGTGCTTATTAAAGAACAAATATTCATAATTATCTGGCAAAATGGGTGTTTGATGAAGGTTTACCAGATTCACGCATGCATTACAAATGTATTATGTAGACTACGATGGACGGTACTTGCAATGTGTTTGCACATCCAGGATTCTTTAAAACTGTTGCTTTAAGCAGTTTAATATGAACAATGCACACCTGAGGGACTAGTGAAGTTGGCACAGCATAGGTTTAAAATATGACTCTGTTATACATTTTAGAAGTTTGGGCTGGATTGACAAGTTGGGGAACTCCTGACACTGGATCCATAGGTTCTGCTGGGAGACTGGTGTCTCTGTTGCTTCCTTGGACCCAAACTCCTTGGAAAACTTAAATGTGTTTTGCAAACGAATACAGTACATGCAAAACAGATTGCATTGCAATAAATATTAAATCCCAAGCTAGCTATATTTCATGGCTGAGAAAGGGTGCAGAAATACATAACTCACCTCTTTCCATTTCATTTCATCCTGAAAGTTGACAACTATTTTAACATGCCTGCCTCCTTCTTTTCGGACAGAGCCATCACCAGGGTCATCTAAAAGCATGTCTATAAACAGAAAACATCAGCAGACTCCTAGTTATACACTGACAGCAACAAAGGGCATATTCAAAGAGACAAAACTAAAAGTTTACTGGCTTTCCTACAACAACCGAAGGTATTTCTTAAAAAGGGAAGGTCACTGAAAATTATTACTCTCAGTTACTCTATATTTTCTTTCCTACAAAAATATCCCTTTGGCAAATATATGCAGTTAAATAGCTTTTGAACACAATCCTGTGCAGCTGAGGTCATAATTGGAAAGCTAACTTCTCGGGTGTAACCGAACTATGACACCAGTAGACAAGTTTGTACTAGCTGCTGACATATATTCACACCTTAGCCATTAACAATCCTTACCCTTTTATTCTTTATGGAGAACCAAACTGAATGCTCCAAATACAGAATAAAACCTGGTCACTGCCTTCCTAGTTATACTCACCGAGACTGGTAGACTCTGTGAGGTTCAAGCTGTGCTGAGAGAGACCCATTGAGTGTCTTGGGGAGGATGAAATGGAAACCTGAGACTGAGCCCTGCTACAGCTGCCATGGTTTTCAGACTTCAACCGATCATTTTCTGCTTTTAACTTTTCAATCTCACTCTGGAAAAGAAAAGCCAATTGTTAGGAGGCACAAGGAAAGCATAAGATTTCTCACTTCCACTGTGGATAGGTGAAGTTAGTTTTTAAGAAGAAACCTCAAGTAGTTTAATAAGATGCATTTAAAATTATTTTTTAAAACACAGCTTCCAATCAAACCATAAACACCCTTTAGAATATTATAATGCTTCTGGACCTTGGAATTTCCCAATGTTCAGTGCAAGCTATGCAGCAGTGGATCCAGGAATGCAGGGTGCCTACAGATGTTTAAAGTCTGCACTCTAACTCATGACACTTTACACAAAGTGCCACAGAAATGGATCAAAAGGTGGAAACTGTAATGCCAGAGGAGGCAGAAGGTGTTTATCCACAATGCATGATGTTTGGCAGAATACCAGGGCTAACATGAATATGTTGGTGAAAAGTTTCGTGGGACCTCCTTTGAGCATGAGACAAATGACTCGGAGGTTACATGGCTGGTCTTCTAACACAAGGCTGTCCAACTTCTGGGTAGCTGGGGGCCACACAAGACATGGACTGCAGTGCCAATGGCTGCACAAGATGTGGACTGCCATCCCAGGGGCTGCTGGATACACGGGCATCCCCTCCTCCTGGACTCCCCCACCCCCCCACAGGCATCCCAACTCCCCCTGCTGCAACTCCCACCTACAATGAAGGCATCCAAGCTCCTTTGTCATGAGCAGCCTGGCCCCTTCTCCCTCCATGCAGGCAACACAGACACCCTAGCCACCTGTCATGCTCACAGCTTGGGCACCTGGACACCCACACCCTGCACTGCCCCACCCCCAGAAGCAGATGCAGGAAGTATAAGCTGGAAGAGGATGGGGAAACCCAAAGAACCCAGCTGCCATGGCAGAAGCAATAGCGGTGGGGGGCAATGGTGGCAAGGTAAGAACCCATGGGCCACATGCTAACCTCGAGGGGCACTTGCTGCCCTTGGGCTGCTAGTTGGACAGCCCTGCTTTAACAGATAAAAGAAAATTGTAACATATTTGTTAGATTGTTTCTTCCCACCTGCATCCTGTTCATTGCCTCCCGAAGCTGGTCTAGCTGGTGGGCAGAGCTAAGGGCCTCCAGACGAATATCAGTCAGTTTCATCTCTTTGTCTCTCAGCTCATTGCGTAACTGCATGACTGTTTCAGCCTCACTGTCAGTGCATTCAGAAATACTGCAGAAAGTTTTAAATTGGGCAGTTAACAAGATAGATTGGGAACAATACTTTGAAATGCTGTTTCTGAGCATTTAGTTAACAAAGTGAAAACAACTTTCTTCGGTTCACTGAGACAAACCTGGTGGGATATTTTGGGGGATGGACCTCAGTTTTTGCTTTCAACCTCAATGACAAGATAAATAGAGCATGACAAAGAACATGAAATACCACTAACAGTCTCTATCAGCAAAGATGCTGTTTTGAGGATAAGACAATCGGCATATGGAATTAAATGCTGGCTGTTATGCTATCGTTGGATAGCATTAATATTTTTTTCAAAGGAATCATCAGCTAGGAAACCTTTTAAACATGGGAAATATAAATAAAGTAAGGAGATACTGACAGTAGCAACAGTCACTTGGAGACTGATGAGTTTGAAGAAAGATTTAAAGTTCACCAGGTGTTCACAGCTGGGTTTCCCTAAATGATTCCTGAGGGCACTGGAATGCTATATCTATTCAGGCACAATAAATTCCTGTTTGCTTTTATTCACTCATGTTTAAAAAAATTTTTGGTGGCATTTTAATTCCCTTCCCTGACAAAAAATGAATCTGGCTATAAAAACTTTCAGCACATAAGTATGACACTACAACCCACATCAGCATTTTCTGAAATACTGTCACACTGTACTCTGTTATCTCTACTTTCCAGTCCATCTGAACCACTATCATGTGTAAAACTATTAAGCATATTTCAACTTATGTAAGAATGTTTATGTGTTATAATCATCAGCGGGTCCAGTTTAAACTTCTCTGAATTCATAAGTTAACAAAAGAGGTTTTCTCCACCACCAGAAAGCAAATAAGCCAAAATCCATAAACTTTAGCATTCCTCAAATGCAGATGAAGATTTTGATTTTTTTCCTCAGTTCTTTTGTAGCCTGTTGATTCTTCAGAAACTTTTCCAGACAGAATATTTTGACTGATTGCAGACAGCATCTCATATATATATGTGTATATATATATACACACATACCTATACATACACATATACATATATACATACATACATACATATACATATATATACACATATATAAAGTGTATTTCTAATTTTAGAATAACTCTGGCTCTTTTACAACACTGGAGGGTGTAATGATTTGAAAGGAATTAAAATAGGGCTAATAGATGGGAGACCCATGAATCTTACAATGGAGAACAGTTCTTTATTTTCTGCTATCAAAATTTCAGAGTGAGATTTCAAAGGATCTTAGAAGCTTAGAAGAAAGTGATTCATAGAAAACCTACCTAATTGCCCAGGCACCAGAGTCTCCACCCACATGCCTATATTTTTATCAGAAAACTTACTTGCCAAAAGTTCAGCTATTGTGCATGTCAAGAGGTGGCACCATCTGGCTGGGCATCCATCTCCTACCGAAAGCTCTTTGGAATTCACAGCCTAGGTGTTCCTAAGTATGTCATTGGGGGAGACCAAACCTGGGGCAATGCTTAGGGCAAGTCTCACACTGACATACAGGATAGTTTAGTAGTTAGCACACTTTCCAAGGAAGTGGGATATCTGAATTCTAGGTCCTACTCTGCCAAAAAGGGCTCAAACTCATCTTCTGGGAAAGAAGGCAGCCAAGAGCACAGACAGGAGTGCTTGTGGGTCCAGAAGGAAAACAAGCAAGACTGTATCCTAGTCCTGGATTTCATTGCTATTTCTGCATTTCATCTAATGGCTCGTTAATGCAAAATGTATAAAGAACGCTTTGCAAGCATCCAGCTCCTCTTCCTGGCTCATTCTCTCTTTGGATCCATGAATTTTGCACTTCTTTCTGTGCAGGAGCTTAGCTTCAACAAGAGAGATAGAAAAATTCCCATTCACCCTTGCTCTATATGCTCTTGATTAGGACATTCGCCAACAAGAGGAAATACAAGTTTGGACACCTTCAGAACCTGTCTCCCATCTTCTGGGCAAGTGCTCCAACAAGGAGACTATTATGTAAAAAGCTACCATCACTGTACATAAAAAGACAACTTAGTCTAAGTATGGGTTTGTAACAGAGCACAGGGTGTGCTCTGTTACTCATAGGGGCACAAGCAGCAGTAAATCTAGCCTGCAGCTGGTTGCAAACCCAAATAGGCCCAATTGCCTGACTGGGAACAGGGTCCAGATGTTTCCTATAAGAATAGGGCTCTGAGCAGCAAGGCCAGCAGTCTGCTTCTACCAGCTAGGAGAACACCACCTGGCTAGGGCTGCTGCTCATGACATCTTGGTGGTAAGGGCAGGAGCTATTATGATAGCAGGAGGCTCCTGATCCTGGGGCATGACCTAAAACTACATCCTGCTGGGGTTGGTGTGGTGGGACTGCCAGTGGTGGGGTAGTCTCCAGGATATGCCACACTTGGGGCCTTCCCAGTGAAGTGTGAGTATGGGGCGCCAGAAGGCCTCAGCCCCTGTTGCCTTGTGGGTGACCCCATGGAGGGGGAAGGCTAAGGGAACACACCCTGAAGGACCAAGCAAGGGCCCTGGCTTGCTGTGAGCTCTGAGGTAGGGTCCTGGCTAGGTGAGGTGGGGTCCTGGCTTTGCCACTATCCTCCATGCCATGTGGCCCAAGACCTGGCTCTGCATGAGGGCACCACCCACAGAGGTATCCATGGCCCCTGGATTCATGGGAGAACATCCAGGGGCTGGAGTGCTAGACATCTGCCCCAGGGCTCTGCCCCCTAGCCACTCCATTGCCCCTCACTCTGGGTATGAAGAGCCAAAATACTGTAAATAGTTTTCAATATGTATATAGTTTGTCTCTTTTAAGTGGGCTTTTCATTGTTGGTGGATGGGAAGGGTGATGGAGGGGCATTGTTTGTTGAAGGGGAGAGGGATGGGGGTTGCGAAGGCAATACAGTTTTTTTTGTTTCACCCATATGTGTGTCCTGAGAGTGGTGCTAGAGGTGGGCAAGTGGTAGGGGGTATGTGGGCAGCAGCAGAGGCAGGCTGGGCGGGGAGTGCAGAAGGGGGTCAGGCAGGGGCTCCCACAGGCTCTCCTGTGGCCTGGGCAGAGGGGCCTGCTGGGGCCAGCACCATGGCCAGCAGCAGTGCAGGGTGCTGGTCATCACTGGCAGGGGCTGGGCTGGAGCAGTGGAATGCTGAGTGTCACTTGCAGGGGCCAGGGCAGCCCTGGCACAGGGAGGCAGGGTGGGCAAGGAGGGGGCTGATGCACACTGGTCCTACACTGGGCATGTGGCTCCTGTGCAGGGAAGGGGCTGACCAGGGATCAGAGCTTCCAAGATGGCTGCCAAGTGCTGGCAGCTGGCTCTGGCTCAGGCATGGCTCCCAAGTTCTGGCAGCCATGTGGCCATAGCTCCCTCCAGTGGCCACAGGAATGCATGGCAGGGCCGCCAAGTGCACTAACTTTAGTTCCAAATCCTCCATGTGTAGACACCTGCAAAACATCGCTTAATGCACATTAAATTTAGTTGTGCTTATTTGCATGTGTAGACAACCCCTTAGTTTCACATAACTACAGCCTAAAAACAGGAGACATGCTGGGTTTCAGCTATACTCTGCATTTTGGCATTTCCCACCGGCTGGCTTGCACAGTACACTGAGTGCCTATCCTTTCCTATTCAACATACAGGCAACTTAGGCCATGAACTGGTACACATCTGAAGCATTCCAAATTCTGCTCCAGATTGGAGTGCTTCAGAGTCAAAATGCTTCAGTGCTTTACAGACATGTGGATCCCCTGAAGGAGCACTTCAAAATCACTACAACGGCAGCGGCAGTGCTCTCCAGCCAGTGGTAGTGAAATGGGGGTGCCTAGTATTCTGGCATCCCACAGTGCTACACTCTTCCTGCCCCAGGGAGTGACACAGACAGCCAATAAATGCTCTTCTGTGTGCTCAACTGTCCTTGAGGACTTCCAGAGACCAGACTGACACGCATGCAAGGAAGCCTTCCTTTCATTCTCCCTAGAGAAAGCCGGTGTGGAGCAGGGCACTATGGGATACTAGAAGGCCAGTGAAATGTATGGAGATTCAGGAAACATAAAAGGGATGTTCCTCATTTTTTTAGGATCATTTTTGAAGCACTTCTTCAGCCATGCATGTCTGTCCACTAACTCTTTGGAGCACTTCAGAACATCATTTCCCTCCAGGGACTTAGGCACCTTTAACTTGGATTTGCAAATTCCACTTCTGCAGCCAGTGCCTAACTTTAAGATACCCATTTTATAAATGGATAAATTAGGACAGGGAGAAACTCATGATCTGACTGAGATCACCTAATGAGTCAAGTGGCAAAGTGGAAATCTGAAAATAAAAGGCCTGACGCTCTCAGAGTCTTTTTTCTGTTTAAGCTTACAATCTTCACTCAAATCAAAACACATTCATTTGCCGTTTGAGCTTGGGGTAAAATTCTGGCCATCCTAAGCAGAAGTAGTCCAATCACTCTTAATCAAACTTGTCACTGACACTTAGCAGAACATGTGCTGCTTTTACCCAACAAAAAAACCAAAATCCCAGATGTCAGCTATATGCCATATTCACTGTTAGCAGAAGCAAGAAATTCAATTACTTCTGCTGCCCAAGATCACCTTGGTTGCAATTACTTCTTCCCTTACACAGTACAAGCTGTTGAGAGATTGCCCCCATAAACTGTTGATTTACATTACACTAGAGAAGTAGTGTCTTTGTTTCACAGAGTAACATAGAACTGCACTGGAATTCAGAATATAGAACTACAATTCCCGGCTATACTACAAACATTCCCCCTATATACAGTGAAATTGTTTAGTTGCTCTATGCCCATATTTCATGGCTATACCATTGGGATAATAGGAATTTTAATAATAAAGTCTTTCCGCTATCTTTTGTCTATCTTATTTATTTAAAGTGCAACATCTCCAAGGCAGGTATCAGACAAAATTCTGGTTCTGAAGTCAGCATTTTGGCTATTTACAGACATGGAAAATAACCAAAATGATGCTTTACTTTAAACTTGGCGAGCCCTCGCACCAAGCACAGCGCATGCCCAGAAGAGGCACTGCGTTAGATGGACTCGGCTCTCCCAACATCTATACAGATCTGGTGCTTCAGTGGGGCTTTTCAGTGCTTTTACCAAATAGCTGATGAAACCAGCTATTCGATAAAGGACCAAAAAGGCCTGCTGAAGCACCTGATCTATACAGACATTGCAGAGCTGGATCAAACTAATGCACTGCCTCTTCTGGTAAAATGCTATGGTGGGGTGGGGATGTTCATGTCTGCCAGCACCCTTTGAAACTGACTTCAACAGAGAAAGGATTTCATCCAGTACAGCATCCTACTTATATCTATGCACAGCACCTAGCAATGAGCCCCACTAAGGTGGTAAATAAATACACATATAAAATATGGAATCCCTCATTTTGCCCAAGCATTTCTTGATCAATGTTGCACTGTCCTTAAAATACTTTTCTAAGGCAAAATACATTCCCAAATCAATCAATACTTTTAAAAACAGAAATTTCACTTACAGAGAATTTGAATGAGAAGCTCTCAACAATGGTGTAGAAACAGTTGAGTTGTTGTGCGGTAGCTTTGGTGATGAAGGTAAGGAAGAATCAGTCATCTCCTCAATGTCTGAATGAGAAGATGCTGACTTGGGTGATTTCTTTTTACCAAAAGCTTGCTTGAAGGAACTGCGTAACTGGAACAAGACCATAACAGTAGAGATACTGTTGAGGATTTATCTGAGCAACAAATTAAGCCACCAAATAAAGATTCTAACATGCACATCTTTCCAATAAAGTGGCAACAGGTATGTAACATTTTTGAGGGGCTGAAAGGAGGAAGATTAACAATAAAATCCTGTTTTCCTTAACCATTCTATAAGATTAAAAAGTGAATCTACAATAAGGCCTTGAAAGGACTGGATGTTGATGTCTCCTGGTTCTAGACCGTCTCTCTCATTACAGCTACAAAATTGTGTTCAGCAGAAGAAACTTTTTAGAACAGTGTTACAGCAACTTAAAGTTATAACATAACATGGCTGAGACAAGGTTACCAATGCTGACAGGGTTAGTCATGTAAATGGATAGGTTAGCTTTGTATTTTATAGTTTAAAGTAGGTCTTCCTTACCTCATTGACCTGCCAGAAGAAGCGCAAGCAAAAGGGAAGGGGGAAGGAAAAAAGACAAATTTTAACAGATAAAGCCAGTGATGGGGAAAGCTTTGGATTTTTAAAGACAAACATGACCAATAAATCACAAGCACACAACAAATGATTTTAAACAGGAATCAAAAAGCATTTGAAACTATTTCGTAAAATGGATCTTTCAAACAACAAATGGCAATTTTTACAGCACATGAACAATGCCGTATAGATCAGTCTCTAAACTACCTAAATCAAACTTTTTTTGCTTGGGTTATAAATTCCTCACTATTTTTTGAGACACTGGTAAATTGTGCCTTCCTTGTGTGGTCAGTTCAACAGGGGAAAATACTCAGCCTTTTTGACCTACATGTAACTAAAAAGTACTTTCAATAGCATCCCTCCTTTTATGAAACAAATGAAAAAACAGATGTATTGTGGCTCAAATGATTTCTCCCTGAAATCCCATTTCAGAATATTACAGCAGCAGAATATATATGTTTAAAAGGATGGTAAACAAGAACTGATGCTGAGTGTTATATTCTGCCAAATTTTCAGTGGCAACAAGTGTCTTTAAAGTATTTTCATTTTAGCCTGAAGAGACAGGAGATAATGTTTCCATATGTAATGAGAGGCCCTCAATTTAGAACAGATCAAAAGATTTGTGAAATAAAAAAATACTACATTCACCAAATTCAGCTGAACTCCACTTAATAGAGAAACATCTAACATGTTATACCTGTTCTCCACTCTCAAGACTCTCTACTCTTTACATGTGCTTATTTGCTGAATGAAAATTTGCTCATTTGCTGTTTCTTTCAAATTCACTAAAACCCTGTGCATGTCTCCTTTTCAGAATAACAAAGTTTTCTAAACTACTTTTAAGAAAAATGGCATGATGAATGAGAGGTGTAGACTAATTTTACGATGAGACCTTCTAGACTATGATAACATAAACTAACTACTAATGCAAGACTAAAAGAGAAGCAACATATTTGGCTGAATTAGGCCTTACTAATTATATAGGATTAAACTGGTTTAAGTGAAAAGGATTTATCAACAGCTTACAAGGAGGAAAGAAATTAAAATCCACCTTGCCAACAGAGTGCCCCAACAATTAAAATGCAGCAGAGCATTGTGGGGAAGCCATTGTTTTCATTCAGACAAGGGGAGCGGGGGGAAGCTGGGAAAGGGGGTAAGGAGATAGTGTTGCTATAAAGAAGGAATTCAAACATTTGAAACCAGTGAATAGAAGAAACACTAAACTGAAATTCTGTTCAAATGGATTTTTGTATTTTAATGACACAAAGGCAGTTTTACATATAACCTGAACAGGATCACTTATAATTACAGCATAAACTTTCCCAAGAACCAACTATAGCATTTTGTAGTAGAATAGATATATTTTTATGCAGTTGCTGAACTAACAATTAAGGATGATTTAAATTCACTGGAGAGTGTGGACTGTTTCACTGCCTATATGATAGGAACTAAGGATTTTGGCCCAAACTACAATAAACCTAATGTTACTATGATAACAATGGACTAATTAAAATTGAGTTCTTATGTACCTTTCCTTCAGTACATGGTACCTTGAATACAATACATAATGAGCAAGATAAAGAAATGGGAAGTTAAAAATGAGTATTTTGAAATCTTTTATTACTATTACAAGAAAGACTATTATAACAAAATCCTAAAAGCTGCTATTTTTATTTAAAAATTCCATGATGCTATTCAGAGCAGAGCCTATGGTAAAATGAAAAGTGTTGTCTATGTACTTAAAAAAGAAAGTGCTATGAGCATCAAAAGACTTAACATTCCCTCATTGTGCATGTACTTTATTTAAATGACATACTGTACTTAGAATCTTCCCTACACAACACATCTCTTCACCAGGATTTGTCCTTTAGAGTTGTTGGCACTGTGGGCTTTATGGTTTAGTCAGCGAAGGTAAAATTCATCCTGCAGATAGCTGTAGTGTAACATGGGGCGTGCAAGTGGGGCACATGCCCTAGGAGCTGCCTAAGGGGAGGAGCACCAGAAGGAGCAGTGGGGATGCCTCACCTAGTGCTTGCCTCTGCCTCTGCTGCCTGCCTGTCACTCTGCAAGCCTCTGTGCCAGAACAGGCAATGTGTGTCACAAAGTGCAAGACATTCTGGGAATTATAATTTTGTAGAACAGAAGTGGAGTTTGCTACCTCTGGAGAGAGAACTGACCCCTATTTTTTGCTACTGAATTCAGCATTTTTTCTGCCCTCTAGACATGGACTTCGGCAGCAATAATATGGGGTGAAAGTTTCCCCTGGCAGCAGCAAAGTCCACTGCCAGTCAAGAAAGCTGTGACTCCCAGAATGTCTTGCACTCCATGAGACCGCTTGACTCTCTGCTCTCCCTGGTTCATGTACCTGCAGTTGGTGGGGGGGAGAATACGTAGAATTTGTGTCACTTAAGATTCACATATGTCTTCAAAACTGAGTCTGGACAGGACACAAGTGGTATATATCCTTGTGCTGACGTCTGGATCTTGCTACACACGTCCACAAGATAAATTTACATTTATACCATGCAATCTATTGAAATATACTCACCCAGTTCTTTCTCTTCTTTTTCTTTGAATCACTTTCTATGTTACTTCCCACACTTGAATGACTAGTAGCACTATTAATACTAGAGACACTATCTGAAGAATGTTGCCTTCGAATCCGCAGGTCAGCAGGTTGGGTAGTTCCAGTACCTAAATGTTAACAAAGTCACTGTCAAATTTACTTAAGAGATTTCAGCTTCTCCTTTGATTAGTCAACTATGCAGAAGGAGAAATGTGTTGCAGGAAACAAGCACATTTAGAATCACTTGCACACAATAATGCACTGTATGGCAATATCGGTAGGTACTTTACTCATGATATGACTAATATCTCAGATGTGATCCTGAAAACCTGTCCTCTAGCAAACCACCACAATTTAAATCACTGGGCCTAGCAATGTGAAGAAGGCATTGCAGGACTGTGGTCCTCACTTTGTGTGGCACTTGGGAGCTGGTGTAGGAACATCAGCCAGCAGGAAAGCTACCACTCTTGAATAACAAGGAGAATAACATCCAGTGGCCCAGGTAAGAACTAAGGATATGGAGGAGGTTTCTAAGAATACTGCTTGGGGTCCAGAGTCCTGAGAAGGGGGCTGAGAGTCTGTGGGCCTGTTAAAGGGCAAGAAGAGCCCTGAGAGAAAGCTCAGACCCCTTCCTGTGCCTGGGTCTTGTTAAGAGGCCGGATGAGCCCAGAGAGAGAGGGGCCGAGTGCACTAGGGCCTAGTGAGAGATCAGGTGAGTCCTGGGAGAGAGGCTGAGAGTCTGTGGGCCTATTGAGGGGCCAGGTTGTACTGAAAAAAGGAAGGGGCTGTGTAACAAGACCTACGGAGGGCTCTGAACCTGCAGAGAGAGAGAGAGAGAGAGAGAGAGAGAGACCCATGGAGGGGCCAAAGAGGGTGGACCCACAGAGACAAGGGGACTGACAGCTGGAGGACTGACCCTGGGAATCTCAACTAGCCTGTGCAGGGGCCAGAACCCAGGAGGGGCCAAAGGGTGAAACAGACCACAGTGGAGACTACCAGAGGGGAGCAGGCCTGTAGTTCTCGACTGGCTTTGAGGTGAGGCCAGAGCCTAGAAGCGGCCAAAGGTCCCTGGGCGGCTGCAGCCAAAAGAGAAGGCAGTCAAGGGGCATGTAGCCCAGAAAGATGATGGCTGGTGGGTCCAAGAGTGAGCTGGGGCCAGAGCCAGGGAGTCCAGTGCTTAGCAGCTGGGGAGGGGCATAGGACATGTAAGATCAGTTTTGGGTAAGACTTGAAACTATACCCTACTGGAGTTGGTTGGTGTGGTGGGGCTGCCTGTGGCAAGGCAGCCTCCATGAAATGTCATGCATGAGCCACTCCAGCGAAAGGCAAGGATGGGGTACTGGAAAACCTCAGCTCTCACTGCTTTGTGGGTGACCCTGTGGAGGGGGAGGGGACCACACCCCAAAAAAGAAGCACTCAGCAGGGAAGACCAGGATCCCATGGGCGAGGGGCTGGACTTGATGATCTTCTGAGGTCCCTTCCAGCCCTAATATTTATGGAATCTATGAAATCTATGGGTCCAGAGGCCCAGTGAAGGGCCAGGAATAGAGAGAGGGCCAGTGAGGGGCCAGGAGAGACTGGGACCCTGAGAATCCAGTGGCCCAGTGAGGGGCCAGGGAAGTCCGGGACCATGAGGGTCCAGTGGCCCAGTAAGGAGCCACGAGTAGAGCACAGGGTTGGACAGGGCCAAGGGCCTGGAGAGAGGTAAGGAAAGTATAGAGGAGGTGACATCCCGTAGAGAGGCCAGGAGAGAGACCAAGGGGCCTGGTAGCCCAGGGAGCAGTTGAGTGAAACAGAGGGGTCTGAGGGCTTCAGAGAGGGGCCTGAGAGGGACTGAGTGGTCTAGCAACTAGAATACGGCCTGAGAGAGACCGAAGGATCTGGTGACTAAGGGAGCAGTTGGGTGAGACCAAGGGGTCTGTGGGACCAGAGGAGAGACCAAGGGGTCTGGCAACTGGAGAAGGGGCTATGAGCAGAGACTGAGGGGTCTGAGGCCTGGAGTGAGGCTGAGAGAGACCTAGAGAGGAGTTGTATCAGTGACTAGCAGGACATCTGCAAGGATGCCATCAGCAAGGCATGGGAAATGGTGTATGGAGCCATGTCATTAGCCCGCAAGTCCATGACCACAATCTGGGTGGTCATAATAAGATCAGGGCAGCCTCCCTCTTATCACATTTCCATCAAGGCACAGAAGGCGAGGCAAGACAGTGCCCTAGGGCAGAGTGGGCATTAGTCACAAAGCTTCTAGGGGGCAGCACGGTCACCGCTGGAAACCTGATATGTGACACTTTGTATTTGAAATTACACAATAAAAGAATTGGGCAGTTATACAGTAATCTCAAAGTAACCACAAGGGAAACTGTATTCCTTTACTGTGCTGAGAAGAATATAGTGCATTTGAAGAGGATGCATAGCACTACACCGTAGTATATTTATGTGGAACCTATGAACGAAAACTATAGGGTCTTATCTGAGATACAAAATTACAAATCTCCACCCAAAGGCAAGCAAATACATATTGGTGAAATACATGTTGGTGATATATGCAAAGCCAATTTCTGGCAAGGCGAAGTTGCATCAGATATTATCAAGAGGACTAATGTCATGGGAGTGCTGCACTGATGTTAAAAGAGGAGTTTTCTCTTTACCTTTGCAGTTGAGCTCAGGTGTATTAATTACTCCATTAATGGCAGCTTGAGCAGCAGCATTTTGCTTCTTTAAAAGCTCAATGGTTTTCCGTAATTCATTCAGTTCTGAATCCTGAAATAAAATTGAAATTGATGTTTATATACATATATATATACACACACACACACACACACACACACACACACACACATATACACACACACACATATATAAAATAAAAAAAAACCTCAAAGCACTGCTGTTTGGGGGACTGATTGAACAACTGAAAAATAAAAAATCTGGCTGAGGCTTGGAGTAGCTGGCAAAGCACATTTCCCATAATACAGTGATTAGACCTTTGAATCACAACTTTAGAAAGGGTCATATAATGACATTCTGTAAAATGCAGTTTTTCTTTCAGTTCAGTTAAATGTGTATTGAGATACATTGTTTAAGCTTGATGGCTTTTTTATTATGAAGTAAAGTTCAGAATGTGGTTTGGATTTGTGTATATGTGGGAGTGTCTACATGTGAACTTTACTAATTTGCTGCGCAGTAAAGTGTCACCATCTATATGTTCACTGCAATTACGTCAGTGTAGACTAATTTACTGTGCTGTCAGATAGTCCCATCACACATAGCTACTATCCAACGGTGGAGTAAATTACTGTGCTTAAATACACATGTAGATGGTGACATCTGGATTACCATATTTCATAGTGTATAGGTTGACACTGTTGTGCCAGAGCACCTTTGGTGCCCGTCACTTCAAGGGCTAAGCCAGGGAGAGGGCAGGTGCCTGATTAGGGCAGCCATTTAATGCCCAACTCTCTGGGCTGAGAGGAGCAGTTTGTGACCAGCCAGCAGGGAAGAAACTGAGCTCTGGCTCCAGGAATAACTCTGAGGTAAAGGGGAGGCTATGGGGGAAGAGAAGGGCTCAGTGGTCTTGTGTATTACCTAAAACTACACTCTGCTCAGGAAGGATGGCTTGGTGGGGCTCCTGGTGGTGTGGGAGTCCCCAAGAAATGCCAGACCAGTTGCCTCCCCAGTGAAAGGTGGGGAAGGGCACCTAAACTCTAGCCTCAACCATTTGGTGGGTTTTTAGTTAAAACTGGTGGGCCAGGCACATCTTGGGATGCATCTGAGCCTATGGGGATGGAGGATCCTAGCAAACTCTGGCACCAACGAGGGGGCAGTGTGGAACCTCAGAGAGACAGGGGTGGAGAAGTGGCACTGAGGTGGGCATGGGGCAAAGTCAGCCTTAGCTTGGCAAATTGCCTGGCAGCCATTCAAATGAGGGCATGAGAATGGTCAGCAAGCACACAGCCTCTTGGGCCTAAGAGTGCAGGGAATTAGGTCTGATGGCCCTAAGAGGTTGCTCAGAGAGCAAAGGGCAGGGTGTGTGTGGCCCAAGAAGGAGGTATGAGTGGGACCATGGTGAGAGCAGGGGGAGTGAATAAGGCCCCTGTGAGAGGGGGGCTGTCTGCATGTGGCCTATAACTGGGTACTATGGAAGAGGCCTAACTACAGCCGAGTTTGGCCTGGCCTTGATCTGGAGCTGGTTAGAACTCTTGGATGCCATCTGTGAGGCATGGGCCACAGTGTAGGGATGGTATGGAGCCGTGGATAGCACACCCTAGCATCTGGCCATGTAATGGGCAGCCTCCTGCATTTTACCATCAGATTATTTTAAGAGTAAAATTGTGGCAGGCGAGACTGGGTGAACTGCCCAATTGGCAGGTGGGTGGGCCGGTTTGAGCCTCTGCCTCAAGCGTGCCCTCTGTCATAATGGTGTATACGTCGACCCCATATTTCTGATCTGAAAAGTTATGACTTTTGTAGATCCAGTGTATAAGTTGACCTAACCCAAAGCACCACTTGTAGGGGATGGGGCTGGGTTCAGCGTTCAGCTGACGCGGCTCCATCCTCTGCAAGTGGCACTGCCTGGGCTGTGCCAGCTGAGCACCAAACCCAGTGCCACTCACAGGGGATGGGGCCATGCCAGCTGAGCCTGGTGCTGCTTGCATGGGATAGGGCCACACCAGCCAAGTGCCAGGCCCAGTGCTCAGCTGCCATGGCTGGGACCAGCGCCACTTGCAGGGGACAGGGCAGGGTTCGGTACTTGGTAGTACCACCTGTAGCAGACAGGGCCATGTTTGGTGCTCAGCTGGTGGAGCCCCATCCCCTGCAAGATGTGCTGGGCTTGGCTCTTGGCCCCATCCTCTGTGAGCAGTGATACCTGGGCTGTGACAGCTGAGTGCCATGCCGCTCACAGGGGACACTGATATGGTATATAAGTTGAGGTTGAATTTTAAGAATTAAAAACTGGGCTTCAAAACTCAACTTGTATACCGTGAAATATGGTAGTTTTGCTCTGGTGAAAACTGCACTAGCATTTATTCAGTCTGATTAATTGCACATGTAGATGCACCCTGTCAGTGTTGGGAGAAGACACATTACAACAATAAGCAATAATTAGCATTCTTTACATCCAACATACTTCCAACATTCACAGACATTATCTAATCAGTCCTTTACAACACTTCTGTGAGGTAAACAAGCATTAATTTGCAAAGTTACAGGTGGGGAAACCAAGGCAGAAAGGTTAAGTGATTTTTTTCCAAGGCTAGAGAGTGTGTTATAGTGACACAGCTAGGAGCAGAACTTAAAGAGGTACTGGGTGCATCTACATGAGAGGTTTACAGCTGAGCTGACCAATTAGCTCTCCATTAAAATGCCACCATGGTGGTGCTATTAAGATGGAGTAAACTAATTAGCTCTGCTGTAGGTTGGTACTTGTAAACAAAAGTACTATCCCACAGTAAAGTTACTGGGACACAAGTGTGCTTCACGCAGAGGCTGCCAGCTAGCCCCACACTGAAGTGCCCTCCTGCCCTAGCCAGTCACTCCACAGCATGTTGAGCCAGGTAGGAGCAGCCCCATGCTGGCAGGAGGAACCACCTGAGTTCACCTGCCAGCCAGGACTGCTCTGCCCCAGCTCAATATGCTGTGGTCCTGAGTGCACGTTCAAATGGTGCACATGGGAGCAATCAACTCTGTCACAAACTGCACCAGAGTTTATTGCTGTGCATTAATAGCATGTGTAGACATGCCCCCTGGCTCCCATTCTTGTGCCAGAACTACCATATCACCTCTATCTCTAGAGTGACTATTTTCACCAAGGGCCAGTTCTCTGTAAGATCTATATTTTATATTTTAAAATATAAACGGAAGATTTAACCTAATTAATTAAACATCTCATACAAAGACTTTTAAAAGTCATTTTGGACCTGCCCCTTTGGGACGTGTGTGTCTATGTACATATATAGTGCACAAATTCATCTCCAACTTGCCTTTTGTTCTGCTGTCATAGTCAAACTCTGTAGTCTAATTGTCATGTTCCCAAGGCTCTGTTCAAATGCTGCCACAAGGTGAGCCTGAAAGTCAAATGATATTGCAGAGTGAATTTTACACTGTCTTCTAAATCAGCATCTGTGTTCATGTAAGCATTAAAGTAGTACTGTGCCCTCATGTTTGGTTAAGTAGATGCCTCAGGGGAAGTAAAAAGATTAGAGTAGCCAAGACAAAATGAAAACATATCCTTTCAAATGTCTTATGAACAAATTAGTAGAAATAATTTACTGTGGGGAAATTAGCAATATCAGAAGATAAAAGATCAGTCTCCAGATTATGTATTTATTTATTTATTTACAAGTGGTAGTCTCTATGGAAAAATGTTATTAAAAGAAGCACATTTAAATATGGGGGTGATAATCCAACTTCACTGTTGTGGGTGAGAAGAAACTTTTCCCTAAGAACAGATCATTTCATAAATCCCTATGGCACAGTTTCTTCCTCTGGGGAAATTGATACTGATCATTATCAGACTGGGTACAGATATAGAAGGACCACTGGTTTGATCTGGCACATCAATACCTAGATTTCTTAAAGGTATACTGTAGGCCTGTGCGAAGCTTCAGTCCCTAATTCAATTCGGCGGAGATTTGGTCCGATTCAGTGGCTGAATCTCCGAATCAAATCAGGAGAGTCTTTAATCTCTCTGCAGCAAATCAGAACCCTCCAAATCGATTTGGAGAGATTCAGTGATTTGGATATAGACACAGCTTTAAATGTTTTTTCTACATACCTCAAGGTACTAGGCAGCTCATGAATGCTGTGATGCTGGGGCAGATGGAGTGTCCCACAGGAGTGCGAGTGGTTCCCCAGCACACTCAGCAGCAGACCCAGAAGTGGACCAGAAGCACTTCCAGTCCACTTCTGGGTCCACTCGGAAGAGCGGTGGGGGGCACCCAAGGCTGATCGCTGAGCCAGAGGAACATGAGAGAGCTCCCCTGCGTGCTCTGCGGTGGACCCAGAAGTGGACCGGAAGTATTTCCAGTCCACTTCCAGGTTCATTGCTGAGCATGCGGGGAGCCTCCCTGTGCTCCTGTGGGATGCTCCATCTGCCCCAGCATTGCAGCATTCACCTAGCACCTCGAGGTATGCAGAAATAACATTTAAAGCTGTGTCTATGGCTGAATCGCTGATTCTCCGAATCAGTATCGAATCTTCACATTCAGATTTGGCTGAATCAAATCAGAGACAGTGATCCAAATCAAATCACTGTCCCTGATTCAGGCCAAATCCAAGTCTGAATTGAATACAGCCCGTTTTGCAATCCCCTAGTATACTGCATACTCTATACACTTGACCTTGCATTATATTCTGTGTCAACTGTAAATGCTATGAGATCACTGGAAAGAAGAGGCATACTACCAGGGCATTGAGAGAACAGCAATGCAAGTGTGGTTTGGAACTCTTGATTTTTCTGTGACGGTCATGTAACACTTTAGAAAAAGACAGTGAGAAAACAACTATTCCAGAATCACTGGAAATTAAATTTGAAACATGGGCTGGAAGGGACCTTTGGGTTTGTTTTAGAAGTGATTCTGAAATTCTTATTTAGACAATTACAACTATACTTGCTACACAGTTGCTAAAAGCTTTCAGGACTTCTGGACTCCTAACGCTCGTTTTCTCAGAAAACATCAAGGCATTTTAGTAAGAATTAGCCCCTGCTTAGGCAATTCAATTTTACTGTTTCAATTTCTTAAATAAGGAAATTGAGACATGAAGAAGCTAAGTTCTTCAAAAATCACAAAGCTAGCCTTCAACAGTGGTAAGAAGAAAACCCAGAAATCCTTAAATCTCTTTCCATCCCACATTTGACTACATTACTACTTTATTCATAGGTACGTTCTGTAAAAGTTATGAACACGCATTGGTGGCCATGACAGGGAAGTGAAGATCCCAGAGATATCTCTATGAAATAACCGATTAAATATTCTTAACTATATGCATTAATTGTTCCATCTAAAGGAAAAATCAGTATCATCTTCCTTCTATTGAACTGCCACCAAACCAGCCAGAAAATCAGCCAATAGAAATGGCTAAAAAATTACCTGAAGAATACACTGTATATGAATGCTTGTCAAAATCTATCTCAACCATACAAATGATCCAGGAAAAGATATCACCTACAGAATTTCTTGCACAAAAAATTAACACCCTTCAAACCAATCAAGAACTTTAGTGGCAGGATTTTGAACTATGATGTATGCACATTGCATGAACAACAGTTTGAAAACACATCTTATTAGATACATCTTAAATATTATTAAGTACATAGATAAAAATGTGACAAATGCTTTTGAAGGCAGAAGAGAGTGATTTAATTTTATAGCAAATGCTTATGAATTCAAATAAAGTTGTCTGGTTCTTCCCACTCTGCCATTATTTTAAAAAATGCTTCAAGATGTGAGACAGAAAAAAAAGTTATTCTGCCCAGTTACTTTTAAATCAAGCCACAAAAATGCTATCACACATTGATGTGCTAACCTTACCTCAAGCAAAACACTCACTAGAGACAACTTCTGTGAACTGAATTTAATCATGAATCTATATATAAGCTAACAGTTTAAAGGTTTAAAAAATCTTGTATCTCAGACAGGTTCGCAGATTTAAGCAACGTAATATTACACTGGAATTTTACAAGCAAAAGGTCATAAGAAGTCCATCACAAGTCAAAACTTGTGTATTTCCATTACTTATCAAGCTATCATTTTTACTACAATATCAAAATATTACATGATTTATAATATCTTAGATGTCTGGGAATATTTTAATAGGAAATCTATACAATTAAAAGAAAAGCAGACTGCTAGGTAACTAATTAACTAGGTTAAGCTTAGTGAAAAATATTTAACCTAAATTGGGTAATCACCCTTTCATTGTATACGAACAAGTAATTAATCTGAAGGATTAATAATGTGAGGTTTCTTAAGTAAAAAAATATTCTACTTTGCTGTCTTGGGTCAATGGACAACAGAGGCTTCAAAGAGAGATTCTTGTGCTGATCAGAAGGTAGAATGATGCAAGCTAGGTAAATCAGTCCAGGTCCAACCTGCTTTTTCTACATAGAAGGAAAATAGTTGAGGCCATTGTAAAGTGGTTGCCAGTTTAATAGAAACGTAGAGAGCTGATAGTCTTCATTCAGCAAGAAAGCTCTTCAAAATTTGAAGGCATGCCTCTTAGAATGGTGATCTGCTGACTGCCCATCTAGGAATTCCTGGCATTTATGCCAGGTATTCTTCTGGCTTTCTTTATCAAAAGAAATGCTGAGAATTATGCTGATTATATTAAAACACTAATTCAGACTGGGCAATACAATAACCAGTACTAGTGGAAGAATGAAACATTAGCCTCTTCACTTCTACAGCGCCACACGTACACGGAGGACCATACTTGGTTCAGTTTTATTCTCTTTTTACCACTGATATCTACGGTCCCTTGAAATGTACATTCTCAGCTCTGAAAAGCAAGCAAATAAACTGCAAAATCCTCCCTAGCTCAAAGTATACTCCTTGCTTGTTTGATTCTCCTCAGTGTTTGTTAGAGGTGTTCATTGGGCCAACATGTGTAATTTTCTGGTAATATGTAAAGTTGCAATAGATTTGCTACACTAAAAAAAATATGTTCTAATTAAAAAGACTTCTGCAGTATTCTGGGTTTTCTGAACACATGTCAAAAATAAACTGTAGAAGAAAACAAAACAACTAAAGCTGATCTGAGCTCAGAATGATATTGGAACCACCGTAATTCACATGGCTGCAAAACTAATATACCAAATATCTTAAGATTGGGTGCTAACATTATAAGGTTTTAGAATTGAAATAAGTCAGCATCCAGTGGACTGAACAGACACCAAGATGTGGGCAGATGGAAACCCTCTGTTTCTGTACAGTTTCTGCAGATGTTCAGATGACACTTGAAATGACTCATAAATGAAAAAGCTATCAAGCACAGAATGTTCAATATAATAGCCATCCAATTATGTTAAATATTTTAACTGGCTTGAATTCAATGTGATTACCAACCTACTTTAATAGCAAAGGATCATCTAGAGCAGTGGGAAGCCAACCCTTTTGGCTAGCATGCCACAAATTAGCGATGTACTCTCTTCAAGTGCCACTCCAATCCCTTCCCCCTTCTTGATCAGCTTCTCTGTTTTCTGTTTCCTTCCCTGCACATCTGTTACTTTGCTTTCTCTGCCCTGGCCTATCTGCTGCTGTATTCCCTACCCCATCTGCCACATGAACCACTTGTGGCATCCGTGCCACAGGTTAGAATCCCCTGTTTTAGAGCAGTGGTTCTCAACCTTTTTGGACTCAAGGTACCCTTCACCAGACTTGAGGCATCCCTCCATAACTTGTGAATTGAGTGCCACCCAATTTTCAAAAGCTAATTTCTATATTATAGTACTAGCAGAGTAGGGTTATAATACATCCGGGTTTTCCTGGACATGTCCTTTTTTTGCGTCCTCCCATCTCCATCTGGGCAGTTTTTTTTAGAATATCAACAAATGTCTGGGATTTTGCTCTGCTCAGCATTAAAGTTTTTCCCAGCACTTCCCAGCTTGCCCTAGCAAGGAGCTGTTGGGGATGATGAAAGTGGGAGGAGGGCAATTGTAGACAGGGGGCATCATGTGTGTCTTCAGGTGCATATGCACATGGCCAGCATGCAGCCAGGCAAGGTGGTGGGAGCAGCCTCAGAAGCTGCATGTAGGTAAGTCTATGGAGGCAAGGGTTGGAGGGCCAGGGCTTGAGGACTGTCAAGGGCACTGTGTGTGTGTGGAGGGCAGGGGTGCGTGAGGGGGGTGGGTGCCTTCCAGCACAGGGGAAGCTGTCTGGGCACTGGGGCTGCAATAGGGCAGGGGAAGGGGGAAGGGAGCGGGGTGGGGGGTTTCAGGGGCGCAAGGAGCTGCATGGCCAACCCAGAGGCACCAGGGATGGTGCCCATGCTCATAGGGGCAGGGCAGCCAGGAGATGCTGGAGGACTGGGGGAAGCTGGGGGCTGTAGGTCAGGAGTGTGGGGCACAGGCAGTGCCAGGGGGCTACAGGTTGAGAGTGAGGGGTATCAGCAGGGACAGGGGGGCTGAGGATTTGGAGTGAAGGGCACCGGCATGGTCTGGAAGCGAGAGTAGTGTGGGTCAGGAGTGAAAGGCAGTAGCATGGCTGTGGGCGGGGGCTGTGGCTTGGGAGTGAGGGGCAGGGGCAGGGCATGGGCATATCATTGCCCCCTCCCAATCACTGCCCCATCCCAACAGATGTGTTCTTTTTTGAAACTGGAAATATGGTAACCCTATTGCAGAGAGACCAGGGAGTGAGGATCATCCTGGCAGGGACAATACTGAGCCTGGGCTTATCTGATTTGATTAACTCCTCATACCTCATTTATCTCCTTATCTCCTCCCACCTCCCAGCATGTTCAAAGGATCTGGCAGCAGCTTCGTTGTGAATCACTGCTCTAGAGTCACATTGTGCTTCTCTGTTGTTAGCACTGTGCCCTGTAGTTTACAGTACTAGAGTATATATTGCCAGAAGCATACATATAACTGTAAACTACATGCTTAAAATATGTCATCAGCTGCTTTAAATTAGGGAAGGTAAGAAAACTACCAACCATACATCTGAAGCTTGTAATTTCATTTACTTCCTGTCTACTTCAATTCATTATTCTCCTTGTTCATATGATGTCTAGAAAGGGGGAGGGGATTAGAACCAGCCCTGTATGACTATTCTAAAGGTGATACCTGTTCAGTGTTGCCGTGACACTAAATGAAAACACATACGTATCTATTATAAAATACTAATATAAAATCCTCAACTTGAAACTTTAGTACCTCTTTTTAAAAAAAATTCCTGCTCTATTTCTGTAGCAGACATATTTTTTTACAGAAATTTGTGGGTATTCTCATTTAGGTTTTCACTCAGGACTATTACCACCACAGCAGCCACTATTGAAATTTGGGAGTTCAGATCCATATCCAAATGCCCTTGAAGCTCTAGTTTCAGCCTCTGTCTAACCCTTTTCATTTCAAAAGAATAATAATAAGCAGCAAAAAAAACAGAGTAAACCATAGATAAATATACTATATATTCTCATGACTTACAATAGACGATTACGCCTAACGTATTATATTGATCCAAAATAAGAAGAATGAAGTAATGTGAGAGAAAAATGCGAGAGAAGAACCATTTTTTGCTGTGTTATGTCAAAATGGTATATAATATTAACCATATTTTTACCTAATCTCTGTCACAATGATTGAGGTAAATCAGAACAACTAATGGTATCTTATTCTTATATAAAAATAATTACATACAGGGAAGATAAAATGCAATATATATTTTAAATTTTATCAGTACAAAACACCATTCTCTCATCTGTTTATATACAGGATGGTGAAATATTTCACATAGCTATTCCAGACTTGTTCATCATCAGCACATAGCCGACTTATTCTAAATAACCATTCTCACGTTCACAATGAAAACAAACATGAATAGTACAATAACATGAGATATGTGGCTCTCATTCCCATCAGCCCCTATAAAAATAAACAGGGCTGAGACTGTGAGAAAAATGGCAGAAAATAAAACAAGTTTAATGACCAGTACATGCACTAGAAAACCAAAATGTTTATTTCAAAAACAGTCTTTACTATTTTCTGTTTAAAAAAAACCACAACTGTTTTCAGTAACAATGAAGAATCTCATTTCAAATATTTGGGCAAGTAAAAAAAATTAGGTAAATGCCATGATGGGACCAATTGTGCTTCAAAACCTGAGCAGGTAACCAAAAGTTATTGCTATCTGGGAAACTGTTTAGAGAAGTATAAGGGAAAGGATTAGTTGGACTTAATTCACTTCCTTGTCTGAAGGATTTATTTTCATTAAACTGCCACCACAATTGGCACCCTTGATGTTACTTTCCAAAAGTTTAAAGCAAATCAACTGAAGGTGTGAAGTCAAGTTACCCAAGCTAAAGTGTGATATGCGAGTGCTTTAGATTCTGCACTTCCAGTTGATTTGCTTTAATGTTCCAGCGTCTGTCTGCAGACATAGCACTGGAAATGTACCTAAAGTTGACTGGACATTGGAAATAAAACAGTTTTCAATGGCAAGAAGTCATCATTCAAAGATGAGGCAATTTGGAGAAATCTGCACTACCAGTATGTAAGGGACCACCTATAAAAGATCAGGACATGGGTGGTCCAGAGGCTGGAGCCAGAAAGCAAGCCAAAGGCTGAAACCAGTGGCAGAAATCAGGAAAATGGCCAAGTACCAGAAGTAACAGGCTCTAGAAGACAAGCTGAACATCAGAAGCAAGAAAAAATGCACATTTCCCAGCCAGAGTCCTATGGCTAATAAGACCCCAAATACCTGGGAACACTTCCCAGTAATCAATCCCAAGGAGTCTAGCTCTTCCAGCTATTACCTCATTGCCCCAACTGGGATAGGTTCTGGCTGTCAGCTAGTCCTGAGACCCTGACAAAATAACTCAGCTATACCACTTTTATGCAAAATCAGCAACTTTATCCCCAGTGACCAGGAATGTGGCACATTACAGCAGTACTATATTCACTCTGGAGAACATGAAAGCAAAAGTACCAAGTAGGAAATGTTGATTTTATAAAATAAAAATACAGTGTTAACCTAAATGACAGTTTGTTCCAAATATGGAACCATTGGTACAATGCAGGAATGTTTTGGACTTTGATGTTTCTGAGAAAACAAGTTCTTTCTCCTTGCCAGAGAAAACTCCATGAATTCTGAATAGCTTTTTAATAGAGGGAGTAATTATGGCCTTAAAGATACCACTACTTCAAGATTATTCTTCCAGATCAGCCTGCAAGGTAGACAGACACTGCAATAAAGAAGGTTGTAGCCAAACTGAATTGACATGAAGACCTGTGTCTGGTAAAGGTCTTTTCTTTAAAGAGCTGAAGCTGGTTTCATTCATGAATAGTCAATTAGCCAAAAAATTGATGCAAGAGAACATCTGGTCAACATTTAAGACAGCAAAACCTTACATGTTGAGCGAGGTTTAAAAAGACATGTCAGAAGTGGACTGAATGAAAGCCTTTAATGCATTCAGGGCTCTTTGCATTTATATGGTAAATGTAGCAATTTTACTACTTGCATTTGTTTTTCCCCCTCAGCACTGGAATGTTGAAGTGACAGAAGTACTAAATGTAGACTTAATATTCATTCCTTAGCTTATCTATTAACCATTTCATTGGCTTCCCTTTCTATTTTAAAAGCTGGCACTTATGTCTGCACCAACATGCTGATTAAACCTACTTTTATTTTCCATTCTGTGGTGGAAGTCATGACTCAGGTCAAACCATCCCCTGGTGTCTTTACTATTTTACTAATTTAAGAGCCAATGTCCAGGAATTTCCTCTTCAATAACCTTACTCACCCATTCCTACAATCCTCAAATACAATTATGATCTTAAAATAGTCACTATTCATTTGTAGTTTGTTTATGTTGGAATTACTTGTTTTACAGTGAGCTGCCTCTTTATTTAACCCACATTTCAACTACATCTGACAGAGGCACCAAAGGTCAAAAAGACTGAGCAAGGGTCACACACAGTGTTGACTCAAGTGGCATTAAACCCAATGCCTTCTAATTTGGAAAGCTTCCTTGTGTAAGACTATTTATACCATTTCACAGCACTGTAAGGTCCTCAGGGCAAGCAAGTGAAAATATTGTAACAAATGTCTTATGCTCTTTAAACCAGTGTTTCTCAATCTGTGGGTCACAACCTAAAAGTGGCTGACAAGAATATGTGAAAGGGTTGCAAACAAACTTTAAAAACGGATTCTCTTTAAAGGAGAAAAACATGGGAAACCATGGCTTTTCCCTTGCAGGCTGGCAGAGTTCCAGCCTGCCCGGGCGCAGGGGGCAGTGGCTCGGGAGTGAGGGGCACTGGGTTGGGACTGGCCACTGATGTTTACAAATGCATCCTGGTACAAAAAAATGTTGAGAACCACTGCCTTAGATAGCGCCTTAAACTGGTTTCCACTGCCCCTTTTGTGGGGCACTTCTGCCTGTCCATGCTACCAGAACATTGTTTTTATACTATGGGAAAATGCAATACACTTTAGTTCCTTTACTTGTTTACACTCAATATACCTCTGATCTGCAATTTCTGACCCATGTACATGAATGTCATGTTACAAGTTTATGAAGAGAAGCCAGGCTCCAAGAACTCTATTTTAGAATTAATCAAGCCTGTGCATGCTATACTATACAAAAGAAACAATACATTTTGAGTGGCCCAAAATGCATATATTTATTTTTAAAATGAACTGGCGATCAGAATGTACCATTATAAACTGGGGATATTTTTGCTTGTTAGGAAAGCTTGCAAGATGATTTGTGCATTAAATACACTACTCATCAATCTCCATTTTCTCAAATTGTACTTACATTGGCAGTCAGTTGAGTTGTCAGAGCTGACACCTTCTCCTGGGATGCATCCAACTCTCTTCGTAGCTTGCGAATCTAAATATCATATTTTAAGAGAGCACCATAATTGCACCATGATCTACAAAGTTATAAAAGTAAAGCAAGTATGCAAAAAAGTTTCTGTTTAAAAAAACAAAATTGGTTCTTACCTCTGACTGGCATTTTTCTTCAGGCTGCAAAGGAAAAATCAGGAAAACAATATGAACTTACAATAGTTTGTAACTATTAAATATCAAATTTATTACATTTAGAACTCAAACAATATTCTTTATTTAAGACCAGATCCTGTAAGCATATATGCATGTAGCTAACTTTACTCACACAAGTACCTACATTGATGACTATTACATTTACCACTGAGAACTCATAACATATATGCATTACTTCTATATACTTGAAATTGTTTCTGTTAGGTCATGAAAACTAAAACCAGGACTATTCCATTATAGGACCCTGAAAAAAGTAACTATTTTTGTGAAGATTTCTCAGGAACATTTATAAGTAGGTGTTCCAAAAGTTTACATTCACGAAACACTGGAAAAATGGTGTTTTTATGTAAATACGTTTCTTTGCAAAAGTAACTTTTTAGATTTTCAAATTCTGAACATTTTTCTGAAACAAAACAGCAAAATGTTGCAACATCTGCTATTTCCAGTAAATTTAGATGCATTTGATTAAAAAGAAGCAAAACTAAAAACACCTCATTTTCGGAATCTTCAGTATTTCACTCTTAAGTTTCTTATATTACACTCTTCAGTGAATGTTTCTGATGGCACCTGATAAAAGTATTTGGGAGAGGATAACATTCAAAACCCAAGAAGGGGCTGCTGTTGTGTGGGGAACCTAAGCTGTCAGTGCCCTATGTGCTTTTCTGTGACTTTCAACACTTCCGGCCACAAAAGGCTAGTTTAATTGACTTTATTTTTTAATACACTATAAATGCCTGGGTTTGGAGGTTAGTGGTGTCAGGCCAAGGTATTGACTCAATCCTACATGGCTACATGATTGAGTGTTCTGCATCTATTCCAGAACAGCCTCACAGCAATCCAGCACTGGTAGAGACTGAAAGAGCAAGGGCTACTTGCCTAGTATATTGTCCCCGGTGTACAAGTGGGCAGTCATGTGTAGAGCTCTGGTTCCTTTACCCAATATGTAAACTTCTGTAGCTGAGCTAGAACCGTGGGAAAACTCAAGTTCTAATCAGCTCTTATGCTTAAGGATGCAAATAAAACAATGTTTATACTAAGGGTGGTCTACTGATATAGGAACTGGATTAAAATCCAAGAGATCTAGGTTCAGTTCCTGGTACTGACCCAGACTCTGTGTGACCTTGGTTGAATGACATTTTTTTTTCTGAACCTCAGTTCAAGTGCATGGTGCTAATACAACAATGTAACATGAGGAAAAACTTATTAACAGGTGGGAGGTATCCAAGTGCTACGGTGTGGCTGACTAGTTGCTCTCCTAGATTACTAATCAAATGACCATTACATTATTTTCCATGGTGGCTAGCTTGGTAAAGTTGTGACAACTAAAAAGGTAGTTACTAACCAAAGTCAGCTGCTAAAGGAAAGTATATGGTAGATTAAAAATTAAGCTCCTCTGTCATTTTGTAAACATCGCCAGTACCAGTCATCATTAAAATTATACACATTAATCTACATTATTATACATTATCACTGCTTAGACCAGTGGTTCTTAACTTTTTTTAGACTCAAAGCACCCCTGGAGGACTTCAGACATTGTTTGGAAAATGGCAACCCTTAGTTTTATCTCTTTATTAACTGAAGAAAAATGGAGTGGGTTTTCTCTTGCAAAGAACTCAGGAAGACCACTACTATGAACTTCTATTTGAAATCTCTGAGTTTATCTTGTGAATCATATTTGTAAACCTAACAGTGTTAATGTGTGGCAGCCAGTGGCACCCTTGAAACAATCTCAAGGCACCCCAGGTTAAGAATGACTGGTTTAGAAAAAGAGAGTAAAAAACAGAACCTAGTAATTGGGGCTGCTCCCAGTGCCTTGTAGAGTTATTATGAACAACAGCCTAGAAAAATGGTGTGTTCTGCATCCTTCCAACATGTTATCTTTTGTGACTTAGAATAGTTCACTTGCTCTAGGTACCATAGGCAGAAAGCTACTGCTTGCAATCCTTTATTATGATCAAGGGCTTTCTACTTCCCCTGGCATGAAATAGTCCACTAACACAAAGATTTGCAAGAGAATTTAACAATAGTAATTACTTTGATGGACTGGCATGCTTTTCTTCATGCACACAGTTAAACGTGATCTGGCATAGGCTGGATGTGGGTTGCGTGTATGGTTGCATCATATTTTCATACCAAGTTGAAGTTTTAATTTACATTAATAGAAGATTAACTTTAGTATCCCATTGTTGCCCACTGCTTCTTTTTAAAAGGCATGAGTATCAGTTGATGTTTGTAGACTGATATACTTAACGTTATGTCTCTATTTTAATCATGTGTAGACACATCTGAGCTGACCCCAACTTCGCTAGCACAGATACTAACAACAGTGAAGTCATGGCAGCTCAGGATTCAGCTTCTGAGCTTTTAGCCAGGGTTCTGGGCAGGTTTGTTCAGGTCTTGCTGAACCCCTCCTGACCCAGATTCATTGCCATATGTACCTGTTTGAGTCTCACTGAAGCTAGTATGGATATGTCTACACATGCCGCAATTACAGCTCTGAGCTGCAGTATAGACATACTTTAATTCAACAGATCTTAAATGTTACATAGAAAAGCAGTTCACATCAGAATGACACATTAAAAAAATGCAACTATGCTACGTGTTAAAAATGTTACTATCCTAAAAACTCCATTAGAGCTTTTCAGTGTCATTTTATTAAGTGACTATGCAATTAAGACACTTTAAAACCAAAGATTCTTGACATAATAAGCAGTAATAGCTCTTTTGTAATCTTTAAAACTCATTCCATTAAACCCTACTTAGAGTTTTCTTAACTGGCAAATCACTGAACTACCAGACCGAAATGGCTTTATCTACGTCTGTATATCTACTTAGGTTAGTTTACAAGGTACAAATCTACCTTGCCTTCTGTTTATCTACTAAGTCAATGTTGGTGTTGTCAGCAAAAAAGATCAAGTCTCCTTACAGTCATTATGGTCCTTTGTAATCAAGACCTACATAGAGCAGTTGCAGACAACTAATTCAAGAGAGGAACTGCTGCTTCTGGGCCATTAAGGTCTATCCCTGTATAAGAATGCTGTGATAAATATCTATCAGCACCTTACAAAGAGAAAAATACCTTATTTACCTAACATAATAACTTCTATATTTACAGGAAACAAACCATGTTTCCTCCCTAAACAGCAAGAGCAATTTTAGTATGTTTGGACCAATCAATTATAAAATTTGGTTCCAATAAATACAAATGTGAAATAATGCTGAATATTGCATTTTTATTACATTCTGGCTGAAGGTTTAAATTTCATTATACTCACAGTTGAATAAATAGAGGATGTACTAGACACCAGAGAGAGAGAGGACCCATGCACTAAATAAGAGAGAAAATAAACACAGATTAGTTGTTTGCTGTACAGAATCAGTAATTACAAAGTGAATCAGAATTACTTCTTTCACTATAGACTACCAACCTACTGAGAGCATATTTCCCCAGTTACTGAAGAAAAATATCATCATCCATCTTAAAAATCGATTATATTACTTCAAGTCAATTTTTTGCAAAGTATCAAAAACAGGTACAAAGGGAGGTGTCACAAAGTGCTTTTAATATAGAAATGAACTACATAATGGAAAGTGGAAAGTGTAGTTTACTGTACCATAATATATTCAACTTGAAAGAGACAATGCTAGGCAGCAATTGCCGTACATTTTTATTGTGAAATATGTTTTATAAAACTTAATAGAGTAAATACAAATATGGTTTTGTAAAGGTTTTGGATACAAACACTTCTCTGGAGGATGTACCACTCAAAAATTAAAAACTCAATGTACTGCAAAGGAAATTGAACTGAAATTAATAGAAACTTACTAAACCAAACCAAACTACCAGTAGTTTATTTTCACCAGGTGGCCTGCCTAAAGTTTAAAAAGAATAAGTGTTGAAAAGAGATAGAATTTAAGAAATCTATCAGCTTAAAAAACAAAAACCAACCTAAAGGCATGAACAATACAGAAAAAGACTTAGTTTTCAGTTCTTTAGCAAGGTTTTTTTTAAAACCCTAGCACTGTTCTTGAACTTTCTCTGGAACAGGGTTGGACTGGCCCATGGCAGTGGAAGAGGGAGGTCCATGGCAGGGGTCACTTGCTTTACAGAGGGGTCATGTCATGTAGCATATGGTACACATGGCATGCGCTCTACGGAGTATGCATGGTATAGGGCACTCGCCTGTTCACAGGTTGGGCAGCCCTGCTCTAGAAAAAGAAAATGAGTGAAAACATTTCCACAAATTTACTCCAGGAAAACAATCTATTTCAAATGGCTTTTACACTCAAATATACTTCAGTTAAAATGTGGATCTATAAATTGCTTCTTTAATTGATTATTACTGAGTATATGTTGGAATCATATGAAGCACAATTTTATGTACATTATATGCTACCTAAAACATTTCAATTTCTGCTCTAGGAACTTATTGAAAAATACCTTTTTTCCCCTATTTTTTGCATATAGAAATGAAATTCCTTCATTTTAGTTGTTATACACATGATATACATTTAATTAAAAAACCTCAAAACATATTGCTAGGGATATTGTGGATTTTGTGGAAATTGTTTAATCCAGGGTTGCCCATGAAATCCATGGGAAAAAAACTTAATAAAAATATTTTTTTTTATTAAGTCTTCCCCTCCCAGGCAGGCTGTGAGGTTAGTGAGGTAGCACAAAGGGAGCTGCCCCTTCTCAGGCCTCTCTACCGATCAGTGCTAAGGGAAGGGGCTGGACAAAGGGCAGCCAGCAGTCAAGATGGTGGCTGCCCCCTCATTTCTCCTCCCCCCTGGGGCCTCTTCACTAATTTGTGCTGAAGGGCACAGCCTCTCTGCCAATCAGCATCAAGAGGTGGGGTCACTGTGAAATGCCCGCAAAATGGGCTTTTTGTACCAGGACAAAGCCACAAAAATGGCTTGGTCTCCCTGCATGTTAAGTAGGTTCCTACATATTATATTTACTCGAATACAAGACAAGGGTTTACTCCCCTAATCAGCATGAGGAGAAAAGCTCCTTGTCTTATAGTCACATACCAGCCTCCCCACCCCCTATTAATCACACTATCATTACACTGATGCTAGAAGCAGCATGTGTACAATCATGGAAAGCAACTATGAGGTTGACTGAATGCAATCCATGCTGAGCATGCTCAAAAAACAGTTGACCTATATTGGGAAAACACACTGATGGGAAACCTTTTTTAAGGAAAATTTTTCATGTTCCAAGCCAAATCAGCCAAATCAATTTGAAATCCGTGAGTCATTCAAGAACCATATGTGGCCCTAGTACCAGGAAACATCATCCACCCCCACCTGGGGCTTCAGATGCTTCCAAATCCTTTGGCAGGCAGCCTATGTGCAGGCCCAAGCCCAGAAACTTGGGGTTTGGATGCCGCCAAGTTTCTCTTGCCCTCAGCTGCATGGCTGCAGGAGCAAACAAGAGAGAAGCCTCCCATAAAGTTAGTGTAGAGCTGAGATCTTCCCACTGGAAGTGAAAGTGGGAGGCTAACTATGCATTACCTCAGTCAGAGTACTACCCCCTGCCATGTTCATGGTTTTTCTCAGCCTAAGGAAAGCCACCTTAGTGGTCATGAACCTACCACAAGACCAGGCTACTATAGCCCAACTTAGTAAAATACAGTGCTGATTGTGCTCAGTCCCCCTTAGATCTGAATCAGATCAAGTCATGGTGAACCACTACATCAAATACATTTCAACTTCCTCTTTGTTCCCACAGCTGAGCAGCACCTTTCTTTCCTATGTCCAATGATTTCTGTTTCTTTACCAACCTTAAATGTTTGGCAAACATCACCAAACTTCTGTAAAACAGAGGCTCTGTCACCCCCTCTCAGCCTGTCATATATGATTCATATTACCGCACACTCTGGGGTGCAGATGGACCAGGCAGCCCCAAGCCTCATCTGCTTATACATTTTTGGAGGGTCCAGGACTTATGACAAGAACATGTAAGTGGGGGACCACTGGGGGGCTAATTAGCATGTTGATCCTTTGTGGGCAGTATCTGGAGTACACGCAAAGTGCTAGGCTGTGGGGTCACGATGGCTTGAAACACTGTTGACTCTGCTGGGGCCCATTCCAATGAACTGTATGATACGGCATTAGCCTTTTGGCTCTGGACTAATGTGTACATGTTGCACTATGTATTAGTAAGTACAAAAGTAGTACTCAAAAGTGTGTGTCTGGAGTTCCTATGCCAAAAAGTTCAGCAGTCAGAGTCAGGGCCAGTGCCAGAGTCAGACCCATAGCAGTCTCCTGCTTCCCGCTGCAGCTTTTGGCCTTCCCTCTGTTCCTTCCCCCTCCCCCTCCCCACCTGTCTTTACTGTCACATGCATCTCATTTTCATATCGTGCTTTGGGAGGGAACAGAGCCTGAGCAGGATTTGACAGTGAGGGGCTACATGCAGAAGAAGTAGGGAGGCAGAAGGCGGGGGGGCACCTAGCACCCCCAGCCACTATTTTTCCTACTGCAGTAGTGGGAAGGGGTTGAATTAAAGACAACTCTCAAATAATCAGATTCTACACCTGGGAAATTACAAAAAATTGATACATTTTCCATATATAGAATCTAACTGTTGGGGAGTTATGTTACATTCAAGTAAATACGATAAGTTTCAAACTCTCTTATTTGACCCTACATGCTTCTGACAAGAAACTTTCAGAAGATCTGCCATTTCACTGTAATCACTTACCAAATCTCCTCTAGTGTACAAATATAAAAGATGAGCTCTTGCATTGATAGTCTTCTGTGCTGACAGTAAGACAAAAGATGCAAGCAATATCTAGGGTGGCTTTTGTATAAGATTAAAACTACACCAACACAACCAACACAAAAAACAGCAAAATTCCCACAGCCATCATTTATCATTTGGTAGTATTTTCAACCAATTAAAATTCTCTCTCTGAGATCCTTAGGATTAGATTGTCCCTTTGATTCTCTTCCTGACAAAGGATGACATGCTCAGGAAGACCACCTCCAAAGCTGCCTTGGAGAGATGTGATTTCATCCTTAGGCAAAAGTGGCACCTTAGAGATTGACTGGTTCAGAAAGGGATGTAGGTTGAAAAAGCCACCTGGATACCAAGTGAAGAATTGCTGCAGTACAGAAACTGCCCCCATGAATTGCACACTGCTGGTTATGACATATCACCCCTCCCTCAAACCCATACAGAAAATCCTCAAACAGTTGCAGCCCATGCTAGAAAGAGACCCTATTCTTAAAGAGAACCACCCATTCTAGCCTTCAAACAAGCACCAAACCTCGCTCACCTCATCACCAGAAGCAAACTTCCTACGGCCCAGAACACACCAAATGGATCCAGACCACGCCATGACAAGAAATGCAAAACCTGCCAACACATCTCCACCACCCCCACAATCACTACACCCCACAACAGAGCCATCAGTATTCCCAGAACTTACAGCTGCACCTCCAGAAATGTAATATATCTCATCCACTGCACCAAATGCCCTGATGGAAAATATGTAGGAGAAACCAAACAACAGCTGCACAACAGAATGAAAGCACACCAGAAAGACAAGAATACCAAATTACCTGTGGGGGCACATTTCTCAAAAGAAAACCACTCTCTCTCCAATCTCTCAGTTCTAATCCTCAAAGGGAGCTTACAAAACATTTTTCACAGACGAGCCTAAGAACTCCACTTCATCAACCTCCTGGATACAAAAAATCATGGACTATAGACATTGGATTTATGATACATTATAACCTGCCTGACATCTTACTCCCCAGGTACCTCTCCACTATTTACCTGCTACATTCATCCCCCTTCTCTCTCCATCCTCCCTGCCCTCCTCAACCCCCAGCCTGTCTCTCACCCATTGACTCCTCAATTTACATCTTCACTGACTGCCTGTCTTGTATGCATACTAGCCCAACCTCTGGCTTCTTTACTTTTCATTCATCCAGGAAGAGCACACACGAACTGCAGAGGCTTCCTCAGCCTGACAAAGGGTTTTTAAACCCGAAAGCTTGCTAAGAAAAAATTTCCCCAACTATTTAAGTTGGTCTAATAAAAGATATCAGATTCACCCAAAGAACCTTGTCTGACTGGTTCAGAAAGGCAGGCATTTTCGTAGGCAACAGTCTGCTTCGTCAGATATACTTACAGAAGCTCATGTCTTTGAGTTAGTCTCTAAGGTGCCACCATGCCCTACTTGTTGCCTGCTTTCAGACTAACACAGCTAACCACCTCTCATTCCATGTTTGAGCCCTCCTTGTTCTTGCCTTCTGTTTGCTCTTGGAAAATAGTATTCTGCTGACTCTTATCAGTAGCAGATAACAAATGCTCCTGCTCTACCTACACAGCTGCATGAAGCAGCATTTTGAGGGGAAGGAGAGGAACAAAGGCCCTGTCCATCTCAGCCTACCTGGATAAGGGGGAGGGGGATAATACCAGGTGTGCAGCTGCTACATTCTTTCCCTCCTTTTATGCCTACAACAGAGATGGGGGAGCTGTACCGAGGTAGATAATGAAGGCTTTACTCCTTAGGCTTCTGTATTATGAAAAGGCAGGGCCACAGTCTGGCTCTTACAGTGTACCTGGGATAAAGGGTGCACCACAGTACAGTTTATGCAACAACCTGCCAAACTTCTAGCAAAAATGCAAACAAGGAAAAGGAAAAATAAATAACACACAACTTGGCTTTAGCCTGACATATATTCTTTTGGGACCTAGATTGCTGCCTTATAAAACAACACTGCTAAGTCACTTAATCTTGTTTATACAGTTTGATACTTTTCACTTCCAAAGAACTACTAAGAAATTAACAGTTTTGTGCAATTTTTTTTGAGTACTTGCAGATGGTTACTTTATGGCTAGTCAGGGGGCCTGGAGGCAGTGATCCCTTGACAGGATCCTTTAATACTTGTTTTCTGTGGTTAACATGTATTTACATGCAGCCTCCAAATGCAAAATGCTCTGTAGCAGCCAATTTAAATACCATAAATACATGTGCTAGCAAACTACAATTTTAACGTTGAGAGAGAAAGCAGCACAGTGAGGCAGAATTTATCAATTGCTTATTGACTGAAAGAAGAGATATTTCAGGCAACAAAAGGTAAAATGGAATGGATATCAGTGTATTATCTACTTGTAACACTGAATTTTATTCCCTACCCACTGCTGTCTCAGAAAATAGAGCAGTGGCATCTGGGGAAGTACAGCCAGTGCCAGTACGATTCCTAAAATGGACATTGCTTGGAGGAGTGGGTTTGTGCCTGTCTTGAATTTCAGCAAAGTACTGAACGTCTCTCGAATCATCTGATACCTGAGGTGAATGACATCAGGCCTTCACAAACTCTGTCCGTTTGTACAACTACACAGAGTCCAATACTGTAGAACAGTGAAAACTCCCTGATGTATACTAGTTATCCTCAACCTCTCTCAAATTCAGTTAATGTTGAGGAATTCAGCATCATCATTAAATCCACTTTTTGGGTTAATTCAATGGAGAATTAGTCCTAAATTCTTCGTAACAGAATTTCCTTCCCTGAGGGATTCAATTATCTCACCTGTACACCCAGCTGATTGGATAGCCTTGGCTGTCCACAATAGATGACCACAATGTCATCGATTTTAATGTTCCAATGGCAGAACTGTAAATCATTCTCTATGTACAGTTTCAAATATACTTCCAAAAATATTGAAAATACCTACATATGATCTTATTTTTTCTAGCTGACACCTGCTCATATACATATTCATGCTGCCATATATCAACAGGAACAAAACTGTCCATTTTGCAAAGCGCATAGAACTTAATTGTAATATCCTAGAAGACTAAGGCTGGTCTCACCCATTACAAGATTAAGGTTACCTATTCTTTTCTAAGCAAAGGATTATTTCCTCCCATATTTACTAAGGTTCCTTTTTCAGGCATGAGTTAACGAGTAAGCTTACATTTTAAAAAAGTCTAGACATATTTTTAGAACTAGCTATGGTCATTTACAAAAGCTATTTGGAATTCCATCCAAGATATTTAACAGAAATGGCCTTTGAAGACCATTTGTTTCCAGATTAAATACATTCAGATTAACTGATCATAAAACAACAGTCTGATTTACGTCAATTATTTACACTGCTGACATACGCACAGAGGCCCAGCTTCAGGAAAATATTCTTATTCAAGAAATCACTTATGTACCTGTTTAAAATTAAGTGCATGCTTAAGTTCTTCTGAGAACAATAAGACTTAAATATAGCATGTGCTTAAGTGAGTCCCTCTATAGTGATGAAATCAATTATATACTTAAGTGCTTTCCTAAATTGGGCTAGAAGAACACTGAACATCAAAAAAGCAGAGATGGATGTGATGGAAGATCTGCAAAACAAGACAAGTTACTCAAGTTAGACTCCTGTGTTTAGTCTTAGTTCCCAAAATCAATTCAAGAGATTACAAATGGAGGAGCAGAAGCAGGAAGGTCATGATGAGGTGATGCCTTAAGAAAAGTGATTTATGATAGGAGAAGAGTAATTCACAAATGAAAAGTTTTTCTGACACTTTCTGTTTTGCCTTCAATTTTAATTAATTTGGTACCTACTAAACTTTCTCTAAGATTTTTAACAATATCTCAGCAATGAAAAGAAAAACACCCACACCATAATGTCATCTATTTTAGTGTTCCAATGGCAGAATTATAAATAACTCTATCTATGTACAGCTTCAAATACACTTTCAAAAATTTTGAAAATACCTACATATGATCTGAATTTTTCAAGCTGACACCTGCTCATATACATATTCTTCATGCTACCATACACCAACAGGAAAAAACCTGTCCATGTTGCAAAGTGAAATTTTATATTAAAATGCATAGAATGTAATTGTAAACTTTTAGAAGATAAGGCTGGTGTCACCCATTCAACTTAACACTTGCTAACTGTAGTTAAAATGTGAGCAAAAGCACGCTCAAGCAGTTTTGTGCGTGTTAAGTGCCATGACAGTGTTGCAAAGTTCCTCCCTTTCAGATAAGGATTAATGTATTTCTTCACATATAACATACACCTGGTTTTGGGAAGGCAGAATGAAGAAAAAAAAATATTTTTCCTTGCAAATACAATTTAATATACAGTAAGATGCACCCCTACTGTAGCCAGTAGTGAAACAGCAGCAGCCTATCACTGCTCCATCAATCTACTTGTTGCTACTCACTCAGCAGCTGAAGTAGCCTTTTAAGTGAAAGGGTGGGAGTACAGGTGGGAGAATCAGAGGTGAAGAAGCAATCGTGTCTGGCACCCTGCCAGAGTAGGAAGGAGGGAGGGGAGAATATGGTATATATGACCAATGGAAGGCATGGGGGCATAAGCTTACCTGCTTTGGCCAGGACTCCTTGCTCTCTGAATGGGACTACTGCAAGCCAGAAGCAACCCATCTGCCTACTTTATGACCAGAGCTGCTGTGAGCTGTCTGCAACTGCAGCGGGGACAGACTCTGCAGCAGTGTTGTGGTACAGGCTACCCAGGAGGCACCCAGGGCTAGTGACTTGCCCACTGCTTTCTGCAGTGGCTAGCAGCAAAACATAACTACCATATTTCTTGGCATATAGCGTTCACTTTGATTTTCAGCAGGGGTTTTGTTTGGTAAAAGGTATAGGGTATATGAGAAAAAGATGGTATCTTAACGTATTAACTTTAATACACAGTAACTTTAACGTGCCACAGCATTCCAATGGTTTGTAACTGTTTTCAAGCGACCAGGTGACTACAACCTAATATGCTTGTACTGCATACTGCAATACTGCAAAAACATTTTTCTCTTTACAGTCTCGCTCTTATGTTGCACCACTTTTGCTCCAATATTAACCTTGCTATGATAAAAATAGCAATTTTTTAATCAGTATGCCCTTCACTTTTTCTTACACTTCAAAATGTGAGACATTTAACTGCATGCTGGTATCATAAATTTCTTATATCATAGTTTTACACCACTACATTACAGAAGAAAGTAAGCACACACACTTGGTTGGTACTGAAAAGCAGGTTAATGGGGTAAAGCAAAAAAAGAAAATCATGTTAGCCTATAATAACAGGTTATGAACTAACTGCTCAGGTTTAAACACAAAAATGCTCCCTAAAATTACACTTTGTTTGAAATTCCATCACTAAAATATACTATCTTTTTACTTCCACAAATGTCTCTAGTTAAATAGTACTCTGACACCTGGCTAGCAATTGATCTCAGTCTGCATAAAAATCAGCAAAATCCTCATTGCTTGCTTGTTTTCCTTTTTACAATGACTTGTATTTTATAGGCCTAATTCAAAGATAATTGAACCTAGTAGGAATGTTTTCATTCATGTTAATGTGCTTTGGCTACTGCCTTGGATTCCCACTCTCCAATTTCAAAGCTGGTATAACAAAATAATTTGACATATTTTTAATTCAATTTTAGCCAACTTAATTAGTAGGATTATGCTGATCATAGGTTCTGGCCCTTGGCCCAATTGCATTCCTACTGAAGTCAGAATTTCTTTCCAGTGCTTTCATTGGAAATGATATCTAGCCCATTATAATTTCCTCCACAAGCTTTGCTTACCTTCTTCAAAGCCATCGCGGAACGAGCCAGAGCGACTCATAGTTCTGCTTTTCTCATCCAGTGACATTGAACTGTTCCGGAAACGTGTGTCACTGTAGGGATCATAAGGACCATCTGCATTGGAAAGGCTGTGTGTCCGTAGCATGGTCGGATTTGACAAGCTCATCTGGGCTGCAGTAGTAGGGCTTGCTAGAAAGAAAAAAAAATAACAAAACAGGAAGTTCATACATCTATTTCTTGTGCAGCTACCAAAAGTGTTATTTTCTTCTAATCAAATATACTTTCTTACCTATGTATCTCACAACATTTTTTCCGTCTCAAAGTCCTATAGATTCATTCTAGGACTATATAAACAATGTCAGCTGTAATACAGGGCATTGTGCCTTTTTGCAATCAAACCAGAAGATGAATGATCCACACCTCCCACCCCCATCTCCTGAAGTCCATCAGATAGTAAGACATCAGTTTGAAGACTTAAGGTTGAATCCTATCCTTTTAGTCTACTGATGCTTAGTTTTTGTGCATGTTACTACATTCTCCATGCATCTTGGACTCATTCATCATCAGAGATATGATCAATCTTTTCCTCAGTAAAGAACAGCTTCTTTTTGGTTTAAAGATAGCAATGATTACACTTGCATCTAAAAGGCTTTGACCCTGAGGTCAGCATCTGCTCTTAGAAGTCATTGGGAGTGTTCTTCCATTGCAAGGCCTCTCTTGGGCTCAGAAAATACTATACAGATCAAATCCATATTTTTCTCCCTGTTCTTTTATTGAGCACAGATTTAATCACCATCATTTTTGATAATTGCTGGTAGCTCTGTGGCTTCTGTAACCTATCTAGATGGGCAATCTTCAAAAACATTCCAAAGAGCTCACAGCACCAGGATCTTTACTTTCTGGGCCTGTCTTATTTTTGCTTGATTAGCAACATATTTCCCTGCTCCATGATAGTATATTTGTTGACATTTCAGAAAAGGACTCTACATACTTTTGGAAATTCTGTTTTATAAGTTGATTTGTCTGAAATTGGTTTGATTTGATGTATATCTTGTTTCTTTCAGTGCGCTCAAATAGTTGCCCTAGGATACTACTGAATAAGTGACCAGGCAAGTTTCTGCAAATGATACTGTACACAACCTAATGCTAGAAAACTAACAGGCAGTTTTCATTCTCCTGCATATATTATCTTCCTACAATATAGATAGAGAGGATTTAAAAAACTAAAACCAAATAAACAAAACAAAAATAAGCATAGTCTCACACACAAAGTCTCCAGGGAGATCAGTACACCCATCTTAGTTTAAATGCCTGTACCTCCTTATAGGGCTGCTGTTTTCCAGAATTAAAAAAAAATAACAAACAATAATGCACTTCCTACATGAAGAACAACACAATATTTCAAATCCATACCCCAGATGGGACCACTGTATGCCACATTTACTCAATTAGAAGTTGAGGCTTTTTTCCCTCATTTAACATAGGTGAAAAAGCCCCTCACCTTACAGTTAACCACAAGGCAGCAGGGGGCAGGCAACCACTGAGGCTCCAGACACAAGCAGGGGTTGGGGCACAGCTGCTGCCTGTCCCCCCTGTTGCCCCTATGTGTGCAGCTCCCAGTCTGTTCCACGTGCCACTTCTTCCCCTCTGCCACACTCCTCCTCATTTTTGCTCCATGCCAGCAGTCTCCATCCGCACTTCAGCCTGGAGCACAGAACACCCTGCAGCAAGGATGGAGCCTGCCAGTGTAGAGCAAAGGTAAGGATGGGAGGTGGAGTGATGGGGGCGAG